TTCCATAATGCCCCTCTAAAGGATCCTATATCCTTATTAAGTCTGGTCAACATCCAAGTTATCCTTTCGGATAATCTGCTGTTAAGACAACTGTTGTGAGTGCGCATTTCCACGCCCTGTTGCTATCTTACTCTACGCCACCATTGTGATTTCTATTTTTATTACCCAATTGTGGTTTTGTTTGTTTTCTTTTGTTTTATGTTTTAATTGGTAGTATGCGGTTTTTGTTTTCAATTGGGGGGTTATATATGATAAACAAGAAACGTTAGCTGTTATCAATGTACTTCTGGCTTTAATGTTATTTTTGCAGCAATATACGTATTGGATTTGTAAGTAATCCATAATCTGAAGTAGTGTAAAGTAAAAATATAGGCAAGCTCTCGAAGCACTTGTTTTGCTTCGAAATGTAATGAATTGTAAGTAAGAAATACATAATGTGAAGTCCGATAAAATATCATTATTCCATTTTGCTCCGGTAGTATATTACAATTACATGAAAGTCGATTATGCGTAAATAAAACTATCATAGTAAATGTGTTGCATAACACATTAATAGATACAACGAATTAATTTATGGGACAATGTACGCCACCAATGTAAATATCGCCCATTGTCATCATATTCCTGAAGCAATAGCCCGACAAATCACTCTCTGGCTTGACTTCTGATTTTTGTGCTTTTGCGGGAGTGTGTCTATTCTTCCCGTTCAATCAAATCTATGCCCAGTACAGCAACATGATAGCCCTTCGTCTAATCTGGGGTCTTCCCTAAAACTTTGGACAGTGATTTAAGGTATTAAAAACGGTGAACGTATTGTTCGCCTCCAAACAGTATTGTTTACATTGTAGCCGTTTGTCACGCAATTAATTTTTCTGCAATATTCTGCTATGCACTGGCTGGTTAATTGGGCGTAATATTTCGTGAGTAATGACGTACGTTATGTAAACATATTTGGTCCAATTTGGATCTCCGTTTAAAGCCAAATGATTTTGTTACGCAGTTAGCTATTGGTTGTTAATCTGACTATTGACCAGTTATAATTTGGAAAAGAAATTTACTTCCATTACAACAGTGTTAAGTGGGATTAGGTCTAATAAAACACCGTGAAGAGTATGATTGTCACAGTCCCAAGAAGATATAGCATATATATTAAATTTACACGAAAAGTTTTCATTATCACATAGCATTTGCCTGTGTAGGATCTGGCGGCAATATTACTTCGTAAGGTTATAAATAAAATGCCATCTAGTCAATATATTTTTAAAAAATACGATGAAGTGAAAATACTTTGATGTTACCGAAAACAAAAAAAACTGATAAAGGGCACGGCCTACCCAAATCCATAAAATACAAGCCAACAGTGAGGCTGATGTCACCCGCCGAAATCCCAAAATAAATAGATGACACATATCAATTAATCGAACATTTATTTTGTTTATAACTTATCCTTTTGTATATTTATACAACGCTTAAAACAACAGAACGCCAGAAGTTAATTAATATCCATAAGACATCGAGTTATATGCCAGTGATGCAGGACGGAATACTTCCAGATAAAAAAAATCAACCACTTTAATTCATTATGAATGATTTGGTGTATATCATAATGAAATAAGGTGGTTTATTTTTTACCTAGACGTATTTTTTATATTTTTTTTATTTATTTATGTATTTATCTACCGTAAACATAATAAAGTACTTGTACTCTATCTACTTCAATATATATAGCGTGGTCCATCAATTTTACCCCCAATCTACGAAGACCCTTGAAACAATACCAAATTCAGAATTAATCTGGACATTGTGGGTGGTATATCCATGGTAAATATTCATGATTTTGAGGCGGAAGGATAACGGGGTTATCAGGTTGGCTACGGTGACATGTACGGCAACTAGTTACATGTTTTTAGTATACTTCTTCAAGTTTGTGTATCTCAAAATTTTGGTGATTAACCTCATACAAATTTTAGTGCAAAGTCATGACCATTTGTTTCTCTGTCTGTAGTGAAAAGCATTCAGCCCAGCGAAAATTTGGGGAAAAGTTGGAGGTGAGCAAAGAGGCCAGAATTAACATTGAAGTCAATGGGGAAATTAATGGTGGTCTGCCACCTGTATGAATGATAGAGTTTTCTCCCTTGGATAACTTGTCACGCTAACTAGCCACTCGGCCAACCAAAACATATTAATTAGTCCATAATTAAATTCCTAATAAAATATGAAATGAAATGAAATGGGGTTTAACGTCCTACCGTTCTGTTCCGAATGGGCTAATGAAGACCGACTTACCCAATACAGTCTGAAGTCTGAGTTGTCATTGAGTCATATGACGTGGTTTCCATTCCCCGCTTGTACGGGAAAAGTAGTAAGGTCGTCTGTCCAACACCGTGGGTTTTCTTCGGGGCCTCCGGTTTCCTCCCACAGCGAATTAATTAAATAAAATATGAAATGAAATGAAATGGGGTTTAACGTCCTACCGTTCTGTTCCGAATGGGCTAATGAAGACCGACTTACCCTATACAGTCTGAGTTGTCATTGAGTCATATGACGTGGTTTCCATTCCCCGCTTGTACGGGAAAAGTAGTAAGGTCGTCTGTCCAACACCGTGGGTATTCTTCGGGGCCTCCGGTTTCCTCCCACAGCGAATTAATTAAATAAAATTGAAACATATGGTAGTTCCGAAATAAAACAGCTTGTGTCGAGTGGACGTTAAAAGCATCTCTCTCCCCCCCTCTCTCTCATTCCCCCCTCTCTCTCTCTCTCTCTCTCTCTCTATACGAATCGTCAGGCCATGTTAATGCGTTACTATGCTGTTCTCTAATACTTAAATTTTACTTATGTGTTTAACTGAGAGTTAGATCATTTTATATATATATATATGCGCATGATTATAAAGCCAATGTTTGGACTTCAAGACAGGATAATGCGTAATGACTTGATTGTTCTGGATATGATCCAGGCAGCTGTATTATGGACATTTTGGGGTTTGAGCAGTATGTCTCGAGCACAACTACCAATAAACTGTTACAGTAGTCCATATGTGATCCAGGACTGATTCGTTCGGATAACTGAATCAGATTTAACATTATTTATAATTTATACCCGTTGACGACGGTGCTCAGGATAGGGCATAAACCTGTTATGTGCAATTCCTGAGCCGACTGAAAAGGTCCAATAGATTTAGTGCTGTTTTTGCATAACCACTTTCCACAGAAGATCTGATGGCGTTTAAATCTCTTAATAGACATAAACGTGACCCGAAGGCTATTTATCGAAATGCATGATGGCAATAATATATTAACGATTTCTCAACATTTGTTTCTATGCAGGGTATCGTATGCTATTAGTTGCCGTACACTAGCATGTGTGAAAACATTTGCCCCCCACCCCACCCCAATTGGAAGACTGATACTGGTGATACCGTTGCGATAATTTCCAAATGATCCCAAGCAGTAGTGGTTGAAATGGTATCAAGTGTGGACCCTGTACCATAGCCCGAGTTTTTCGACCTCATCCTCACTACAGAGTTCAAAACTAAAAACTAATATCCAACCATTAAGTCGGTTACTAATAAAAGTCTAAGAAATTATTCGGCAACATACAAGGTTTAGGGTTATGACAGAAAGTCTCTCAGTACCAGTAAAATGCCAAGCTTTCATAGCCTCTAATGCTTTTCTAACACAGTTCCTTTCTACCTTACGAAATTGACGATGAACTTATCTAAGTTTGATGTATACTGGTAGTAATTCAAATCTGTGAGTCAAAACCAGTATTATGTTCACTTATATATATTTTAATGTGGTGTGTGGTTTATACACATCGGTGTTGTGGGATAAAACCCAAACCTGTTTTTTTTTATTATATCTGAAACGTCGTATAGGGTTAGTACTCTTTAATTTAATTTTAAAAAAGACATCTGAGATATTGAGTAAGGCTATTAATTAATTTAAAAGGGCGCATTAACGATTGTTAATATCGAGTCAAGTCTTGTTGTTTTCTCTATCGAAATGTATTTTAACTTTCATACTATAAATTATGCATATTTCATTCCCGCCCGCCTGTCCACATAGTTTTTGTGTTTTGTTCTTAGAATTTGCCGCGATAAATCGGCTGATCAAGAGGCAGAACATTATCGAAATTTTAGGGTGACCTTTTTGGTGAAGTTATTGCCCGGTCATAGAAACCTTGTAAACGCTTTTGTTTAAAATCTTGCTGACATTGTTGGGCTATATTTATGTGGAAATTAAGAGTCGCGCATCGTTTTTGCAGTGGTCAGAGTTATTAAATTCTACGCCAAAATTATCCCAAAAGCTGGTCGGGTTCTCGGATTTATGTAACGCCCCTTTTCAAGGCATATTAAAAAAAGTGCGACCACGTGGTAAATTCAGGGATGCAACACCTTTTGTGTCCAACATGCCTCAATTATCAGATCAAAATATTGATGAGGGTTTAACTGCCTGCCTACTGCACAATGAATTTAATAAAATATAGTACATAATAAACGCGTCTTATTGGCATTTTAGAGCATGCAGTAGGCGTACTCACACGTAACAGGATAAGGGTACAGCTCATCAAGATATCGAGGAATACCAATTCCCCAAATATACAGATCAATTAGCAAGAAATTATATATTTCTTTTACGTGTAGTTTAACATTAGTTATCAGTTATAATAATGCAGCGTGTTTCCTATTTGCCTCTCTTTCGTATATATGATCGTAATTTGTTTCATGATATTACTCTGTTCTATGGTACGGCTACATACCAATCAGTTGTCATCTGGAATCGATCGTTTAGAAGACTGACTGACGGAAGTGAATTTATCGAAGAAAGTTAAGAATGACAGTCATGAACTCTGGTGTGGCCACAAACTTTACAAATACAAGTGAAATATTTACTTTAAGTGTGTCGGAAACTCTTATGATATTTTTGTATGGTATTATATGTTTTGTTGCAGTAGTTAGAAATGGGTGTGTTTGTTATTTGGTATTCTCTAAGAGACACATGCGAACAGTTACTAACTTTTTTATTGCTAGTCTTGCAATCAGTGATATGCTTATGGCGATTGTGTGTATTCCATTTACATTTGTGGCAAGTATGTTAGGGCACTGGCCTTATGGGCATGCCTTTTGTCCAGCCTTAACATATATCCAAGCTGTGGTGGTATTTTTAAGTGCTTACACCATGTTAGCAATAAGCATCGAGAGATACATGGCCATAAATCATCCTTTTTTAAGAAGGTTATCAAAGAAGAAATCTGTGTGGGTCATATTCCTCTGTTGGATATTATCGTTTTTAACACCTCTCCCGACGGCAATTACATCACGAGTTATTCCATACACGGATGCTGAAGATAATAGCACCACACTTTATTGCTCGGAAGATTGGTCTGCAAATAGCGATAGATTTTCATATACACTAACAATAATGGTTTTTCAATATTTTATACCCTTGTTAGTATTGATATATACTTATTCTCGTATTGTACATATTGTTTGGCTTAAAGATGTCTCTAACTGTGACGATGCTACCGAAGGGGACCCGAGAAAAAAGGTATGTCCTAATGATGTTCTTCGATTTATTTATTTCTTTTTTTTCAGATACGTTTTCTCTAGGAAACAATGAGATAAATTACAAGTTTTCTTGCCAATAAAATGCACAAGGTTCCCTTTAGCTATTCCATTAAAGCGTCATGCTAGATTAAGTTTTTCGAAGAAGTTAACTCCTAATTACCTAAAGAAACGACACACAATTAACAGTCTTCACCTGAAGAAATATTTTTTCAGTCTACCAGATTAATTTCCCCGAAAGTAGCTAAGTCTTTAACTCCATATCATCAACAGTCTTCGACATTGAAACATGAATTATTTGTCAATCTAAAACAACATTGATGTTGTGATCTTACCGGAAAAAGATGGGCTTCTGATATCCAATATTTAAGACAAAATAACCATTGGTACACGAATCGTGTATCAGAATGCGTTTCCGTGCCATTTGTAACAAGGCCGGGGCTCGAAGAACGAGGCTAGACATATCTTACAAGTCATGTCAAACGATGACGCCATATTCTTATCTGGAGAGGATGCGCAATAAATACTAACGATGTAGACTGGAATAACCAGACGATAGAGATTGCCATTCGATTGAGACTTCTCGCGTATTTCTCCGAAAATAACTGATTTGAAATTATAGTAGGATCGCCTGCCCAACCTCCTGTGTTTTCTCAGGGTCCTTCGATTTCTTCCCACTGTTAAAAACCCATACGCGCAAACAAATTATTGAAATATAATTGAACTATGTGTTAGTCCCGAAATGACCTAGTTTGTCTCGAGTGGATGTTACATCCCCCCACATCCCTCTTCGTTGCGACCAGTTTGTGTCAATTGCTAGGTTTAAATATTAGCGAGTTAGCTCCTTTAAATGTTGTGTAATTGATTCACATTTGTCTAATGGTCTAATCATTGGAAACAATTGTTTTAATCAATGCATTCTGTTTTTTTGTGCGATTCTTTGATTTATTAAAACATCTTGTGATCAACGTAGAACCAATAAACTTGTGTCGCGGAAATATGATTAGGTTCCAATCAAAAATGCAATACTAATAAAGCATTTCATATGTCAGTCCTAGTATAAATTCTATTTCGCTTTATTAAATGGAAACTTAAACTTCGTTTGATAATAAATCATAGATGGGGTATAATTAGGTCGTCTGTACGACATCGCTAAACTTATCTAAAAGTATAATTTGCCATGTTCATATACAAGTTACCTAACAAGCCCAAGTTAAATTGAATACGTGAACTATGACAGGTTGTCAACTAATGAGCCTACCGTTGATATATTAGGGCGTGCATTACTCGCCAGTTTTCTGGAATACTACTTAGATAAAAGTACTAGATTTCGAACTGGGTGTATCGTTAGATACTGTGATGTTGGTAACAACAATATTTTTCCTAATCGTTTGAATATATATTTCCTAATGGTTTGGATATACTTTTAATTTATGGTCTTTAGGATCGCGACTGTCCAGGAAATTCAAGGTTAATTAATTAGAGGTCATAAGTTGTGTTGTGCGGAAAGCATATTGATATAGAACTCTTATCCCAAGTATTCAACATGACCTATTTTGGCCTATTAACAGAGAGTACTTATCACAATTATTACACATGGTCCAATATCAACTTCCTTTTTGGACTATTAACAGAGAGCACTTTTCACAATTATTCAACATGCACCAATATCAAATTCCTTTGTGGACTATTAACACAGATCATTTTTCACAATTATTTAACATGCCCCAATATACAGTTCATGTCGCAACTGTGTAGCACTACCGATGCCACATATTTTTGTTTTCACCTGATCTAAGGGTTGGTTTGACTCTGGACTAGCTACTGTTGTATCTTTCTTCTTAAGGACTTCACCATTGTGTTTTCTGACGATACCGAAATTAAATATGTAACAGGAACAACAATAGATTTTTTCTATACGTTTTATGTCACAACAGTTACTTCAAAAATTGTAATGTAGGCTATTGTAATAGCCTACATTACAATTTTTGAAATTAACATCTCTTTCTCTCAACCTGTAAACCGATACATATTGCCCCATTGCCCTGTCGATCCGATCTATTTATACTAATATTCTTCCTCATCAATGTACTGGTTGGACTAACATTACCTGGGGTCAAAAAGACACCGGGGTTATTTTTTTTTAATATTTATTTTTAAACAGATTTTAAGTATCAGGTCTTGACTGATTTAGCGTGAAGCCAACCAGCTTTTCAACCAATAGATCTGAGCCACCTGGGGACTCTCCCTCTCTATCTCCTGTCGATGTTTTAGAGAACGTAAATTTGTAGCCGAACTATTAAAATTGCAATGACCCCCCCCCCCTCCCCTCCCGAGGCAAAATTTATCTCATAGTACACGGAATGGTGTCTGTCCGTCATTATTAGCGAGAGAAAGAGAAATGGAGTTTAACGTCCACTCGACACAAACTAGGTCTTTTCGGAACTAACATATGGTTCAGTTTTATTTCAATAATTTGCTTGCGCGTAAATTGGATGACTCCAATTTGTGTATTCTTGTTGAATCGAACGGGTATAAACAGGCACATATATTCCTGGTCTACGGTGGCTGAGTGAGTAAGATGCTGGCTCCCTAGCCTGGACGTCACAGGGTTCGATCCCAGTGTTGACCGAGGAAGTTCATCCGGATTTTTCGGCGTGGTTTCCCACATGAAATGTTCTAAGTGATTAATATACAGTGACTAAAAACCTTATTATTTGTGCAAACCTGAATGAAATCTTGTTCCGATGTTCCAGTAATAGTGTTAGTTGTATGGGCTAAGCCCCGTCTTATGTTTGATGGATCTGTGGATAAAAACAACAGAGAGTCGATATTATTTATATATATTATGGGGAATTGGTGTTATATTACGGATTAGAATGGAAAAGTAAAAGGAAGGGAAAAGGATTCAAAACCAAACCAGTGACATTTTTAATTGGTTTCTTATCATAAAATGGGGAATTAGTGTTATATTACAAACTAGAATGGACATGCTATCAAACTGAACTACGATATTTTTGATTCTTAGAAATGTGCAAACGCCGAATAATGCAACCAGGTGAATAGGATTCGTCTATTTTTTATTTGGATGTAAACATTACAACTACGGGACATTCCACAACGAAACACAGAAATATTACGTGCCGATATAAGAAAAGCCGTCTAATTTGAATACCATTTAAAGACATGTCTTTTGTTTTGTATGAAAATAATAATTTCATTGATATTTTGTATTTGTTGTTTTGTTTAATTAAGACATATTTGACTATAAAACATTCATATATCCAATCATCCAACCCTGACAAAAATTCTACTTGTTGCAATTGAACTACAACTTTCAGATTTCCCGTTATTATAATTTCATCAGCGTAGGTTTATTAAAATACATCTTGACAATTGACAAAGTTTATTTTCTTCTTTCATTTGACCACACAGTTTAGTTGGACATGTTTAAGAGTACAGTATATGCAACACTTCGGAAAAATCTGCACATTCATGTTTAAGTTAAAAGAGTGTTGACACAATTATTGCCGAGTCGTAGACCTCTACAAATTCGAAGTGTTCAGCAAACGCTGGGTGCATTGCTCTGAATAGACCAGTACTGGAATTTCAATATTTAGGTGGATCAATTAGGACTCTATCCTGAATACAATATTATAAAAAAAAAACGATAAGCTGAATAGTAGAGAAATGAATACTGCAAAATTAATGTATAGACCTGAACCATTAAATCACCAAAGAAAAGAAATGGATGGACAAAGGTGGAAGTTGTTTCTAAATTGCAACAAGCAGTTTTATTTTAAGGAAATGATTTCTAGAGTATATTTGAATGAACGAAGACAAATAATTACAGACTAGGGATAATAAAACTTTACACCTTTAAATGCCATTTGGCTTCATTCATTCAAGTAAACTTGGCGAATGGTTTTAATGGCATTTAAAGGTGTAAAGTTCTATTGAGCATTATATAACCCTTGGTTTAGGTATCTATACATATGTTATATAGGGGTCGATCTATCTATTAAAGCCATTCACCAACACCTAGTGCACCAGAGCTCCAAAGCTATTGCTGAGTTTATCATAGATAAAGTAGCCTAGCCAGACTCCAAAAGACTCCTCAAACCCAGGACTACTAGATTCTGCAAAGATCCTCCAGTCCATAAGTAATTTTAAGGTTGTCTTTATTTTTATACCTTCACAAGGTATAAGCTGTTCTCATTTTTTTTCTTTTCTATCTACCTTATTTTTTTTTTATTTTGTTCTTCCATTTTTGTTTTGCTTCTTTTCTCTTTGATTCATTGTTAGGATACTATTTTTCCTTTTTTATATCAGATATAAGCTTATTTCCTTAATTCCTCCTATTTTATTTTCTACATTTTTAATCTACTTTATTAAGTTACCTTCCCCTCACCCTTTTTTACTTTTTGTTACTTGTTTTTTCATTCTCCCTATATACCAACTTCTTAACTCCATTTATTTATTTATTTTTATTTATTTTTCTTACTCATCCTTTCCTTATTTCCATTATTTTCCTTATCAGACTCTTCATTTATTTAACTATTCTACTTTTCTTTCTATCATCTAATAACCAAGAAGCTCAGTGTACAAGCCAATCAACTGATTGAACTCGTCACAAACCTCTTAAAACAACACCAACAAGCTAAATCTCTTTTATAAATACCAAACCTGATAACTATTAAGTAAACTCATACAAGCAATAGGAACCCATAGTTAATTAGTATTAATAACACTGATTGACTAGCGGCTTTTTTGTGGAAAGGGTTAACGACAGTTATACAAGCTTAAAACAACACTAACAATCTAAATTATTATTATAGTTACCAAGCCTCATAACTGTTAAGTAAACTCATACAAGCAATAGGAACCCATAGTTAATTAGTATTAATAACACTGATTGACTAGCGGCTCTTTGTGGAAAGGGTTAACAACAGTTATATCAGCTTACGCCATTAATTAACAACAGCATACAACCTTAATCAACACTGTTCAGTCCCTCCTTTTGTTTTCGATTTTACTTTTCGGCAGCATAAGAACGATGGCGACAGAGGCTAGCTCACCCATGTCAATGGCTGACGCTTTTAAAAGCAGCCCTGCACCAAAGTACTTTCCTGCGACAAAAAGGAGAGAACAACAGACCCACGTCGTACTTGTGAGGCCACTGGAAGGTAAGTCCTTCCAAGGAGCCAAACTTACGGCCGTGGGCAAGGAATTGAAGAGTAAGTGGGGTATTATCAACATACCCGACATAAAAATCAAATGGCCGACAGTAGCTAGACGTGTTTTTGTTAGAGGTCTACTTGTTCGTGAGAATTTTACATAACACATATCATGAAGCTGTCTAAATGATCCTACAGTCTACTACAATGAACTTAAAATAAGTAAGATACATAATCTCATCTTCTGTTGATGAATTAGGAATTACCTACAAATACTATAACCTAACATCATCAATCATACACTGGAGCAGCCATTTTTGTTTATGTTTGTTATTGTTTACACAAGGCATCGGCGTTTATAAACCTTATAACTGTGTAACCCGGTATATGAACAGGTCAATAAACTAAAGTTTTTTCCAGTATGTAACGTTTATTTAACAGCAAATATATAAAGCATAAAATCCATGTCTACCCCGAGGCGGGACAATGTCAGTAGGAAACGAAAACAAACAGGTTCTCCACTCCAAATCCAGACAGAACTCCTATTGTCATCTGGTATACTGGACAGCAACCTGAAAAAAAGCAAAACACAACCACAGCAAAGCCAAATTACAAGTTTCATGTCCTCCACTACCCTGCCCTCAGCTGATCCAGACAATAACACCAGCCTAGAATATCAAAATAATACAATAAGTGCCTGTTCAACACCCATGACTGACACCACAGACATACCCACCCCATCCCCACCAAGCCCACTGGCAGACAATGTATTCATGAATACAGTTAATGCTCTTACTCTTGAATTGGTAAGAGCTTTCCAGAATCCAGAAGTGCAAAATGCCTTCAGACCCATGGTGGAACTTATTCTGCAAGAAGAAATAATCAAACACACCACCCCACTTAAAAAAGAAATATCAGAATTAAAACTTGAATTGGCATCAGTTTCCCTTGAGCTGAATGGTATCATACAAGACCGCTGCGATGATCTCGAACAATATGGCAGGCGCAATTGTATCCGCATCAGTGGTATTAAAGAAACTGCAGATGAAATTGTTGAAAATGAAGCCTTGACTGTATTAAGGAAGATAATACCAAACATTTCAACACATGACATCGAAAATAGCCACCGTGTTGGAAAAGCCCACAAGGGACAACCTAAACGTATTATAGTAAGACTATCTAGCTACAAGACCAAGGTTGCTATAATGAGGGGCAAAAAGGATGTAAACGGGGTAAAAAATGATATATTCATTAATGAAGATTTAACAAGGTACAGAGCTTTTGTTTTCAACATAGCACGGATATCTTACAAGGCAAATCACATCAACTCTTGTTGGACCAGAGATGGTAAAATCTTTATTCGAATCAGAAAACCTGATGGTTCTGATGGACAAACTAAACGAATATTCAGTGTAACTGAGATTCCTGGTTATAAACCAACTCCAGAGGAACTTCTTCAGTTTAACATATCAAATGGTATTACCACTGACCCACCTGAAGATATGGCTCAATAAACTTCCACAACAGTAACTGTACCAGTGTCTTTACAAATTTTCCTACAAAATAGATTATTTCATATATAAATCATCCCTAAAATAAATAAAAAAATAAATAAAAATACTAATATCCAATTAAGCCTGTCTAACAAATTGCAAATGTAAATCAAAATAAATTATAAACATCTTGAAACTAAAAAATGCCCTGACCATGAAAAGCCCAAAATAGGTTAATGTATGAAACACTGCATAAACTAGGTGTCTTCTATCTAATGTCGAAAGCCCCATGGTGCCTTAGACTGAATTCTACTTCGCATAGCTAAAATAAGTCCATGCAAGATAGCCCTATTTTGATGATACATAGTCATAAAACCCTTAACCTACTAACTGTTGCAAATGCACATAAGTTTTAGGAAATCTAATAGTTTAAGCTGTTGTACATGAAACAGCTCAGAATAATCCTGTCTAACAAGTTGATAGAAAACAGCCTCTAATAATTATAGAATTTATTGCATATGTATATCAACCTTGAAATCTTAAGAGCTCAAGCTTTGACTAGTACCCACTACTTATCTATGTGCTAATTCCTGAAGGAAAATGTATCATATATGTCACCACAAAATAATGTTTCCATTTTATTTGGAGGAGCTAAACTTGTTTGACTTGTATTACTATTACAATGAAGTATAGCCTTTGACCAACAATGTTAGGCCAGCAGGAAATAAATGACAATGTCTTAACAATGATAAACAGGTTTTTCAAAACCACCATTCTAGCCAATGCTTAAAATAATTGTAACACAGGTCAAAGAGTATCTAGCCCTACAAAAATAAAATTGCTGTATATCATATGCAATGTGTTTCTATCTGTATTTAATCTTTCACCTTCGGCCAGATAAAACCGCAGCGATTAAGAGATGCTGACATCTTCAGCCTGTTAAATAAAATGCAAATTAAGCCTCATACTATAATCTCCATGCACAGCGCCCTAAATCAGCGATTGACCAGTACTACTATATTAACAAGCCAGAAATGCCAAAATTGTCTTTGACATCTGGTCAAAGGTAGAAATGTGCTGTAATATTACCCTTGACTCCCCACAACATCAATTTGAAATAAGTCTTTGCAAGACAATCGAACTTTGTTGTCACAAATCAACCCCTAATCATACAAACTGTTGAATATGTAGATTAAGTTAGAAATTTGAACTGTTTAAATACATGCAATACTATTGAATAATACCCAATACTTATCTCTATAATGTATTATACTGACTAAAGGAACTAAAGTTCTTTGACTTGGGTGACAATTAAGTAGATATTAGTATATTGTTGTTAGATGAATAGGGAATATTCCCTGTGCAGCCTGTCATACAACAAACAAATGAATATCTGAAATCAAATTTTACCAAATGATCTTACTTTTTACCCGGTTCAAAGGACATCTTTAGCCCTCATATTTGCCTACGAACTGTAATTGATTTCCAACTTCATACTGATTCATGTAAATCCATGGCAATACCAAAGAGACACTAACATTTTCAACCTAAAAAACAAAATCCAAAATAAGCATCAATGTAAGATATACTTGCTTAGTACCTTGAGTTGGCTCATGTGTAGCTCGTTAACATTATTTATCCAACAAAGCCTTTCGAAATCTTTTGAACTACGCCTTACTATGAAATAAGTGATAATGTCTCTAAGTGATAATGTCAAATTGATATTTTATATGTTGAAGCTTATTCTCTAAAACCAAGAATCAATCCAAAAGTCCACTTTTTGCTACAAAAATGAAGTATTAAAGTGCTCTTATTATTACCCTCAAATCCCCTTAACTTAAAGTTGAAATAAGTCTATGCAAGACAATCAAACTTTGTTGCCACAAACCAACCCCTAATCATACCAACTGCTGAATATGTAGATTAAGTTAGAAATTTGAACTTTTTAAGCTTGTATTGAATAACATCCATTATTTATCTCTCTATATATGCAATTTTGTGAAGGAAGATGTCCCATATATGTCACCAGTAAATAATGTATTATACAGACTAAAGGAACTAAAGTTCTTTGACTTGGGTGACAATTAAGTAGATATTAGTGTATTGTTGTTAGATGAATAGGAAATATTCTCTGTGCAGCCTGTCACATAACCAACAAACAAACCAATATCTGAAATCAAATGTTACAAAAGGATCTTACTTCTCACCCAGTTCGAAGGATTTTTAGCCCTCACAAATACATATGCTATGTAATTTGTAAATGTGTCTCCTACCTGTACTTTAGACTTCCTTCCTCCACTGATAAATCCATAGGGACTAAAGATGCATTAACATTTTCAACCTACAAAATAAAATCCAAATTCAAGTTAAAGTTATAACATAATTAAAGCCTTTCGAAATCATTCTTATTACACCCTACTAAGAAATAAATCTTAATGACTGTCAGTCTCTATGGATCCATCTGCCAACAGTTTATTAGAATACTAGTTTATTTAATTTTTTTTAATTTTTGCTCATATTTTATATTGTTCATATTGCTATCAAACTTAAAATGGGCAAAATTCCTGTTTTATCACATATTAACTACAGTATGCCAATCCTTACATTGAAACTGAGAGTTTATTCTAAAAGTTCATTTTAGTATGAAAATGTTCATCTTAAAAAGAACAGTATAATCCAATATTACACACCTAATTCTCCCACCCTACACACATATACATACATATATATATATATATATATATATATATACCAAAAGGCTCACAACAATTGGCCTATGTCACGCTGGTCCTAAATTCATTTATATGGACTAAGACTAGTAATTATTTCCCCTTATTTCATGATGGACGAATGTAGTGCGAGTTATAAATAGACAATTTTTCCCTTAATTTTTTTCTCCCCTCTTCCTGCATTTTTGGGTTGACTTTTTGGTCTAGAATTGGAGAAAAGGGATCAAATTTGCAATTTCATAGCAGTTTTGGGTAATACTGATGATATTACAGCGGAGGGATAGGGGGTGTAAAGTGTCTTTCTGCAGAGCAGTCATTGTGTCGGAAGTGAGATTTTCACCCCAGTCAACTTCAAATCCGTGTAGCAAAAAATCTAAATGGTCAACCCCCTACAAAATTATGATGAGGAGATTGCCAAATGTTGTCCCCATTGTGCCTATAAAGATTGGAACCAACGGAATGTTGAGAAAAAAGCTACAGCCTGTGATGTTACAGCCATTTAACATTGAAGTCAATGGGCAAATAATTGCTAGTCTGAGTCCTGATGAGATAAAGAAACATGGCCGACTCGGGATGTTGATATTTTTTCAAGGGCTTATTTCCTGAAGTTTTGAATGGAAAGTGTCAGAAATAGTAAGAATACTGCTTTTTTATTGCCCAGCAGTAAGTTTTTTGACTATTTGGTATCAAAATAGCCATGATTGGGGGTATCCGTTGGTTGAGTGTGAATTTTGGGTTGTAAATGTGTAACATTTTCTTCACAATGATATCAAAACATGGTTAGGTCTAAATATTAAGGCCAACTCAACTCCAGATTTGGTCTAAAGTCACGAGATGTAAACAAGGCTGACCCTAACCCTAACCCAAGACCCAGTCCTTACCCTAACCCTAACCCACAATCTTGTCAAAAAGCATGTAGCCTAGGCCTAAGCCAAGACCTAGTTCTGACCCTAGCCCAAACCCACAATTGTGTAAAAAAATCATGTGCCCTAACCCTATTTACATGTTGTGACCTTGAACCAAGTCTGCAGTTGGCCTTAACATTTAGACCTAACATGTTTTTGACATCATACAATGAAATGTTAACATGTACACTCCAAAATTCACACCTGTGTGACTTTTGACCAAACATGCAGTTGGCCTTAATATTTAGACCGAACCTCAAAACATGGCATCTACCTTTGAGATTGGCTTAGACTTATGTGACACTCAAGGTTTACTTTTTTACTGATTGTTAACTGGTTTCTTTTTGGAGGGCCAGTGACGGGCTGTTCGCGAGAAATAAAGAGGTTTATTTCTATTTCCAGTTGAAACCATATTTTTTTCTTATTTTCTCACTGTTTTTTATTGCATATTTATCCCCAGCCTCCTATCATTTCAGGTGCCAGGGCAATGTTTCATAGAGTGGAATGATTGACCTCAACACAAGTATTAAAAAAAAAGAAGCAAAACAGGTGAGATAAATGTGCATTTCATACACTTTAAGAAGTAAATCCAACCTCATCCCCACTTCTGCTCACTAATAGTAATGGGCTGGAAATTTGGTACTGCACAGGCCTGTCTTCTCCCCTTGACATTTAACTGAATGACAGAATTCCACATTTTGACCATTTTCTGGATGTCAATGACCATTTCCCTGGATAGTATTCGCCCCAGAATTCTCATTCTCATCCAAATTTAACATTTCAGGTCTACATCTCAAAACCTGATCTCTTCCTGGACTGGCTTTAGGAGAACGATGATGCATATCAATTTCATCCCTGATCTCTATGACACCTGTGGTGGAAGTGGAGGGCAAATCGTAATCAGTTTGGGACCTCTGTAAACTTTGCTTTTTGGTGATGACTTAATTTCCGAGCTTGAAAAGGACGCTTGTGTGTTTATCATGGCCTCTCATATTGGAAGATAACATTAATGGCTTGTGTGTTGATCGACGGTTGTGCATATCTCTTGGTCAGGAAAGTTGTAGGCACCATCGCCATTGTAAATCATTTGACAGGCTCGAGTGAACGGGGCGACCTATGATTGGTCAGCAATGTATCAGATTCCATACCGGGGGGTGGGGATGAAAAAACTGTTGTAGTGTTACATAATCAGATTATTTCAACTTACTTATCCTGTGGAAATACAGCTATATAGGAGATATTTTGAAATTCATAGGCACTGCATGTTTCAACATTTTAGATTTGACCACAATTTGGCACTTAAAACTATGTTAACAGAGAAAAACTGTGTGGTTTTCGATGAAAGTGTTAAAAGTCTAATATTGCATCATGATTACTGTTTTAAAGTATTTTCGTGTTTGATTTATATTGAATTCATCTCATCTTTTTGAAGAATGCATTTATGTTCAAAAATAAAAATGTTCTGTGGAATTCAAAATTCATGTGCTTTTAAATTATCAGATTCCAAACTGGGGGGTAGGGATGAAAAAGCTGTTGTAGTGTTACATAATCAGATTATTTCAACTTACTTATCCTATGGAAATACAGCTATATAGGAGATATTTTAAAATTGATAGGCACTGCATGTTTCAACATTTTAGATTTGACCACAATTTGGCACTTGAAACTACGTTAACAGAGAAAAACTGTGTGGTTTTCGATGAAAGTGTTAAAAAGTCTAATATTGCATCATGATTACTGTTTTAAAGTATTTTCGTGTTTGATTTATATTGAATTTATCTCATCTTTTTACAGAATGCATTTATGTTCAAAAATAAAAATGTTCTGTTTAATTCAAAATTCATGTGCTTTTAAATTTCTGTCTGAAATTCCGCAGTTTTCTGATGCATTATAGTGTTTGCAGAATGCCGCACAGCTCATCTGAAAATGCATAGATTTTCATATTCTTTGGTCAGGGAATTGCATATATGTTTGTTTATTAGATAACAACAGATTTGTTTAAACTGCAGAAACATGTGAGGTATATAGGACTAAGACTAGTAATTATTTCCCCTTATTTCATGATGGACGAATGTAGTGCGAGTTATAAATAGACAATTTTTCCCTTAATTTTTTTCTCCCCTCTTCCTGCATTTTTGGGTTGACTTTTTGGTCTAGAATTGGAGAAAAGGGATCAAATTTGCAATTTCATAGCAGTTTTGGGTAATACTGATGATATTACAGCGGAGGGATAGGGGGTGTAAAGTGTCTTTCTGCAGAGCAGTCATTGTGTCGGAAGTGAGATTTTCACCCCAGTCAACTTCAAATCCGTGTAGCAAAAAATCTAAATGGTCAACCCCCTACAAAATTATGATGAGGAGATTGCCAAATGTTGTCCCCATTGTGCCTATAAAGATTGGAACCAACGGAATGTTGAGAAAAAAGCTACAGCCTGTGATGTTACAGCCATTTAACATTGAAGTCAATGGGCAAATAATTGCTAGTCTGAGTCCATATAAATAAAAATTTCTAAATTTAAATTGCCGATAGACGGCAATGCACCCAAAATAATAAGATCTATTCCTACGTTTTTCTCATTCATCATAATCCCATACTCATAGGCTATTCTGTTTCCAAAGTAAGTACTATTAAAGTAGGGCATTGAACATGAAATAACAAGAGGTAAGTAAAATATGCACACATGAAAGAGCTATAACTCCATCTGTCATACACAAAACATTAGATTAGAAACAGTTATTTACTCACTCCAGAACAGTAAACCATGTCCCCTTTCAAACAATGTTGACCCAGATTAACCACGTGGGTGGCATACTGCCAATTTCATGCAGGATACTGATCAAGTAGACTTGTTTATCCAGACGCATAACCATCTTCCGTAAGACTTCTCACTGAACAATGTAGAAACCTGAACCATTCACCCTTTCTATTCGCAGCCATGTATATATACCCGTACATGTACATATGTTGTATTGTTTTACACCTTTATTTACGACTTGTATTTACGTTTATTCGATCTTATCAATTATATATTTAAACATATTAGTTTGATACATAAAGTACTTTCTGAACTGAAGAAAACTGTCAATTCCCTATATACCATACCCTTGGAAACAACTGCATTTACGACAAGCAACCAACACCACGTACGTTTAAACAAACAACCTGCAATACTGTCAAATCTCAGGACTATCTTTTGAAGACCCATCATCCGAATCACTATATAAGCATAAGTTGAATAATTTTCCTAATAGGAAGCTTACACATGTAACACTTAGTGCAAATGCTTTGCTCTCAATTACCCTTATAATATATACGTTGTTACTATTGTCAGGAGACATCGAACTAAATCCAGGACCCGCCTCATTAATACATAATCAACTTTCAATTGTTCATCTGAATGTAAGGAGTTTCAAAAACAAAATTGACTTAATAGCTGTAGAACTAAGACATTTTGACATCATAACAATTAGTGAAACCTGGCTCGATAGAAATACCACATCTGAATCAATTTCTTTACCTTCTTACTACCCACCTATTAGGAAAGACAGAAATAATCATGGGGGAGGACTTATTATTTACGTTCGTAATTCCATATCGTTCAAACGCAGGGCTGATCTAGAAAACAGTGAAATAGAGTCTATATGGATAGAAGCAAATTGTAACAACCACAAATTTTTACTTGGCAATTATTATAGACCACCCTCATCAACTTCTAGTACAAACCAACAAATATTTAACTCTCTTCAAAATGCTATAACCGACCCCTTGGACAAATGCATAATTTTAGGTGACTTCAATATTGATATGTTAAAAAAATCTAAAAGTTTTATTCACGATGCTATAAATATATTCGACCTTACCCAGCTGATAAATAAACCTACCCATTATTCCAGCAAAAACCACACTTCTTTAATAGACTTGATATTAACCAGCCCTACATTACGAACAACTGAAAATGGTGTACTTGACAACTCCTGTAGTGACCACTGTCCGGTATATTGCAAATTGGCATTTAACGTACAAAAACAACACAGCTTCAAGCGAACGGTATGGAATTATGAAAACGCAGACCTTGGGGGCATAAAAAGGGACGTTATAGCTACTAAATGGTACAATCTTATCAATAGCTCAAATGTAGAAGCATCGTGTGTTCAATTTACAAGCTCATTGATCAATATAGCAAAAGAAAATATACCATGCAAAATAGTGACTATTAGGCAACATGACAAACCCTGGATGAATGGCGCAATAAGACGTATGAAAAAGAAAAAAAATAGATTACACAAAAAAGCGGTAAATAGGAATTCAGACTCTGATTGGCAAAATTTCAGGAAAATTAGAAATGACTACATAGACTTAATTAGAAAAAGCAAAAATGATTACTTTGACAAAATAGACAAACAAATTAGTGACACAGAAAACTTTGGAACAAAAACCTGGTGGAAACTTATAAATTCATATACTAAAACACACGCTGCTTCTACAAACGAACCTCCGCCCTTAACAGTTAACGGTAACACTGTGTTTACTCAATCCGAAAAAGCAAATGCTTTAAACTCATTCTTTATCAAACAATCACAACTAGATAGCACTAATAAATCTCTACCACTGCTTGTTATGAACCCTAACAGCATCGATAAGATTGTACCAAATCCAGAGGAAGTTAAAGACATAATAGACAGCCTAGATATTACAAAAGCCTCAGGACCCGACGAAATAAACGCGAGAATTCTAAAATACATCTCAAAAGAAATCAGTCATCCACTTTGCCAACTTTTTAAACTATCATTAGATCTACACATTGTACCAAACATTTGGAAATTTGCAAACGTGGTCGCTATATTCAAAAAAGGCTCTCCAAACGATTGTAGTAATTATAGACCAATCTCCCTCTTAAGTATAATAGTCAAAATTTTTGAAAAAATCATCCACAAACATGTCTTTAACTTCCTTAGAGATAACTCAATACTAACACCTGTCCAGAGTGGCTTTCTTCCAGGTGATTCTACCATATTTCAACTAATCGACCTAACACACTTCTTCTGTCGAGCCATTGACCAACATCAATATACTAGAATAGTCTTCTGTGACATCAGCAAGGCCTTTGACAGGGTTTGGCATGCCGGACTCTGTCACAAGCTGGATGCTGCGGGGGTTCGAGGAGATCTACTGCTCTGGTTCGTAGATTATTTAAAAAATAGACAACAATGTGTAACCATCAGTGGCACCTCCTCGGACCCCAGAAGCATCCCTGCTGGTGTTCCACAGGGATCTGTACTAGGCCCTCTTTTATTCTTAATATACATAAATGATATTGTGAACAATATAAATTCAAACATTAGATTATTTGCTGACGATACCTCTTTATACTTAAAAATTGAAGACCCAGAGGCAAGTGCTGCTACCATTAACGATGACTTAAATCGAATCAGAAATTGGGCTGAGACATGGCTGGTAACTTTTAACCCCCTAAAAACAGAGACACTGACTATTACTACTAAACCCCACATAGTTAACCCACCATTATTTATGAACCAGGTACAAATCAAAGAAGTAAGTGAACATAAACATCTAGGTCTAATCTTTCAAACTAACTGCAAATGGAATAATCATATAGATAGCATTGTAAGCAAAGTATCCAAACTAGTAAATTGCCTTCGTTCTCTAAAATATCGATTAAATAGAAAATCTTTAAACATAATATACTCTTCTAATATCCTTCCACACTTTGATTATGCCGACATTATCTGGGATGGGTGCAGTGATTATTTAGCTAACAAACTAGAATCATCCCTACAATTAGATGCACTGCGCACTATTTGTGGGGCGGTAAGAGGTACTAGCCATGCCTTACTCTATAAAGAGACTGGGTTTGTTCCACTCTCGGAAAGACGTCGACGTCATAAATTAAAATTAATGTACAAAATTACTAACAACCTCGTTCCATCATATCTCTCTGACCTATTAGAACTGTCCTCTACCCCTATCAATTATACCCTTAGAAACAAAGATAAACTAAAGGAAACCAGATGCAGAACCGAAATTTTCTCAGAGTCCTTCATCCCTTCCAGTATACGAGAATGGAACAAACTTAACGTTGAAATTAGAAACTCTCGATCCCTTGCTATCTTTGGAAATTCACTAAATAAATTAGACACCATCGTGCCATCATATTACTATACTGGGATACGAAAATTACAAATAATCCACTGTAAACTAAGATTATGCTGCTCGAACCTACAAGGCCATAAATTCCTCAGACACGCCGATGATAGCCCTGCTTGCCTCTGTGGTCACAAATTCGAAGATACCGAACACTATTTACTCGTATGCCACTTATATTCAGATGCAAGAAAACGGACAATCCATAACCTTCAACATAATCATAAAACAATCAGTTGTCTGTTGTATGGGTCAACAAAACTTAGTCCAGAGATAAACACACTTATTTTCCAAGAAGTCCAACAATTTATTTCCTTATCAAAAAGATTTAAATCTCCATAAACAACTCTTAAGTCATTCCAAGCCCTGCACTCTGTATAATCATCTAAGTCTCTATATTATCCATGATGTATCATATATGCTCTATAATTATGTAATTATGTATGTATGTATGTATGTAAATATTTATAATGTGTACATGTACCTAAATCAGAGAGAGGGGTTACACATAGGCATAGCCTGTTCCCCAATCCAAATTCAGATTTAATGAATAAAAATATTGTTTAAAAAAAAAAAAAAGATCACAGTGCCGGGACATATTAGACTTGCCCTAAAAAGTAGGTCTGACATGGACCTAGCGCTGGCCCAGAACCTACTTCTCGGTATGACCGTGACGGTGTCCGAACCGTCCACCTTGTCAATAGACAAGGTGGTTGTTCATGGGATACCGGCCGAATATACCGGGGACGAAATTCTGGAGGATCTAATAGAGAGGGGGTACCAAGCAACCGAGGTATATCGGTTTAAAGTGGCCGAGGGGAAGGACCAGGGAAGCGTCGCCCTAACCTTCAAGAAAGGTACAGCGCCCGAGGCACTTAAAATCGTCTACCTCAACCGACGTACTCACCCCTATGTACAGAGGGTAAGGCAGTGCGCCAACTGTCAGAAGCTTGGGCACACAGTCAAGTACTGCAAAGGAAAGATTGTGTGCGCCCAGTGTGGGGGGGGGGGGTCATGCGGCGACCGACTGCAGGGCGGAACATTCAAAAAAAATGTTCGAACTGTAAAGGCGGTCACGCAGCGAACTCTCCTGAATGCCCGAAAATCCAGAACACCAAGGAAACTCTAAAGATCCAGGTAAAAGAGAAAGTAAGTTTCAATGAAGCCTCATTGATGCTGAAAAAGAAGGAAGGGAGGACAAAAGATGTCAGGAATAGGGCTCCGGTTGCAAAACCAATTCCGGGGCCGATTCCATCGACATCCCAAACAACGCCGAAAAAACCCACCACGGCACCCAACCAAAAAGACAAACCAACACCAAAGAATAAGACCAAATCCAAGAAGGAAGAGGAACCGAAAACGAATGTTCATGAATCACACTTCATTCCTAAATTTAAAACGGAAAGTGGCTTCATGAACTTCATGATCGAGTTCCTCCGGGTGGCCGTGTCCAATGAGGACCAAACTACCAAGATGACAAACCTACTCGGCAAAATAAGGACACACATGGTCAACCCCGATGTCCTGTGTGTCATGATTAATTCAATCAACACGGTAAAAAAAATATCAAGAGAAGAAGAAACCACAAAAGGCGATCAAACGGGAAACCTCGCACTCCGTAGAAGGATATCTCATGTTCGTCACTACAGCACTGGCGATATGCCCAGTTGCTTGCCGGTTTTAACACCAAAGACGAACACTAATGAGGTACCTCCTATGGAATGTGAAACGCCAATTGACCAATAAATAGACAAGACAGAGAGGCATCCATCCGGACAGTCATCATGGCGGGCCAGGTAAAAGTTCTACAACTAAACGTTAATGGACTGGCCCCCAGATGTGCTGAGCTGAGAAAATACATCACCCGCAACCCCAAAGATGTAATATGCCTCCAAGAAACCAAGCTACTACCAACCAAGAACGACATCTACTTGCCCGGATACACTTGTCAGAGAAGGGACAGACCGGGCAGCACGACACGTGGCGGTGGTCTTGCCATCTACGTCAGTGATAACTTAAATTATATTTCTGTTTCGCTGGACGTAGAGGACCCTCTAGAAGCAATGAGCATATCCATCACATTGAGCAATAATACAAAATTGACAATAGTGAATGTCTATGTACCCCCAGATGTCACGAGAAAACCAGTCGACTTCTAGTCACTTCTCGACCAGCTTCCGCAGGGCGAATTTGTGTTTTGCGGGGATTTCAACGCAAAACATGTCCTGTGGGGGTCACCGAGGAATGACTGTCGGGGGATTAGCCTATGCTCAATAATAGAAGAGAACGACCTATGCGTACTGAACGACGAGAGCCCTACTTTTTTTGGAGGAAATGCCTCACCTTCACATCTGGATCTCACACTTGGTATGGCAAACCGCTGCGACTGGCAAATACACGAAGATGAAACACTTGGCAGCGACCATCTACTGATAGAACTCTGCATCCAATGTGAAACAACCAGGGAAGTCTATAACGGGAAACCCAATTGGAAAATAAAAGAGGCTGATTGGGCTAACTTCCGTGTAGACTGCCTTGGGTGGAAAGAAGAAGACATCATCGATGCCAACATCGACGTGTACGCAGCCAACATCACGAGTGCTATTATAGGTGCCGCAGACGACTCCATTCCCAAGACTTCTGGAGGGCAATCAAGGATTAGAAAACCTTGGTGGTCACCAGAATGTCAGAAGGCGGTTAACGAAAGAAAGAAGGCACGACGCCTACGGAAACGCCACTACAATGAAGTCAATCACCAAAACTACCTGAAGTTGAAATACGCCGCAAGAGACACCATCCGGAAGGCTCAAAGCGGACACTGGGTGACATTCTGTAATGCGTTGAATCAAAACACGCAAACAGGTGCCGTCTGGAAGAAGCTGAACGCCATGAACGGGAAGCGCAGATCATTCAACATACCAAACCTAAAGAATGGAGATGAGTACGTTACCAACGGCAATGAAAAGACAGATCTACTTGCAAAAGCTTTCGCTGACGCAAGCAGGGACGAAAACCAATCACCAGAGTTTCCGAAGAGAAAGGAAATCTTTTACTCACAGCACCCTTCATTAGAAATTGAACCTAATGCAGGGGCTAAACCAATCAATCTATTCTTCTCTGAGGAGGAGTTAAATAAGGCTCTTTCCCTCAAGAAGGATAGTGCGGCTGGTGAGGACAAAGTAAAGTACTCGATGCTCAAACATCTGCCTAGAAATGCCAAAAGGATACTACTAAACGTCTTCAACACATCCTGGCTGGCAGGAGAGGTACCTAAAGAATGGCGGAAAGCCAACGTCATCCCTCTTCCAAAACCAGGTAAAGAGAGAACAAAGGCAGAGTCCTATCGACCAGTAAGTTTAACATCCACACTGTGCAAAACCTTGGAAACAATGGTTAACATACGACTACAGTTCTATCTGGAGAGCAACCGACTGATCGACGAAAATCAGAGCGGGTTCAGGAAAGGGCGTTCAACAACGGACCACTTGGTGAGACTACAGCAAGTCATGTTGCAGGCACTCCTCTCTGGGAACCTGTTATGTGTCGTGTTCGTAGATTTAACTAAGGCTTTCGATTTAGTCTGGCTAGACGGGCTGCTCTTCAAATTAGGACGTATTGGTATAGCGGGCATAATGTTTCGGTGGATCAAAAGCTTTCTGTGCGATAGAAAGATACAGGTGAATGTTGGCAGATTCCTGAGTGCCGAGCAAACATTAGAAAATGGTACGCCTCAGGGATCGGTTCTCAGTCCCACTCTCTTCAATATCATGATCAACGACATACAGAAATCGTCCTACCTCGACGCCAAAACTGAGTTAGCTAAATTTGCTGATGACAGTACCATATGGAGGAAAGGGAGGAACTTCTGTGAACTACAAAAGAAAATGCAGAAGGCCTTAGACAAATTCATGGCATGGGCAAACGATTGGGGATTCAAAGTCTCGGAGAAGAAAACAGTCGGCATGCTTGAAAGCAGGGATAGAGGGATAAGCAGAATGACTCTGTGTATGAACGGGAAAACCATCGAGTTTAAAGACCAAACCAAGTTCCTTGGCGTAATCTTTGACCGAAGGCTGACATGGAAACCGCACATCGACGAGACTGTAGATAGATGCACCAAAATCCTAAACTTAATGAGGAAAATAACGGGCAGCACTTGGGGGGCCAACAGAGTCACACTAATGATGGTGTATCGTGCTCTAATACGATCTGTATTAGACTACGGCTCTCTTGCCTTCATGAACTGCGCGCCATTACTCTTAAGGAAGCTTGACACCATCCAATACAAAGCTCTGTGTATTGCGACTGGCGTAGGGCAAGGGACTGGGAGAGAGGCACTACTGCAGGAAGTCGGGGAGTTGCCCCTATCCCTAAGAAGAAAAGAACTAGCGACATGGTACTGGGCTAAGATCTCGCAACTGGGCGAAAGATCCCCAACCTTTGTCAGTCTAAAAAATACAAGATATGTGAGAGATCCTAGAAAGAAAGCTTCGGCCAGGGTATCAGGGAAACAATCAAGGAACTGCGACTGGCGGAGCTCGTGATAAATGAACACGACCCCCCAGTGATCGCCCCTTGGACGCTCCCTATACCGCCGGTTAATCTAGATCTACTACAGAAAACCGACAAGAAAAACAACCCCACTGCTGCACGTGCTTTCTCTCTAGAATTCCTGGAAGACAACTGGCCGTCTGATGACTGGGACCATGTGTACACGGATGGCTCACGCAATCCTGAAAGGGGCACCAGCTCGTTTGGAATATACCTGCCAAACGGGGAACAGGGAATAAGCAGGAAACTGCCCAATAACTGTTCGGTATACACTGCAGAGCTTGTGGCCATTCGTGACGCTATATCATGGATTTCCCATCAAAAGACTAGCAAGTTCGTCATTCCAAGCGACTCTCTGAGCAGTCTGATTTCAATCCAAAATGACAACTCGGACTCAAGACCAGAAGTCATTTTGGAAATCAGGCAGCTGTACCAGAGTGTTTTAGAGAAGGGAAGCAAAGTAGAACTCGTGTGGATTCCATCACATGTCAACATTAGAGGAAACGAGGAGGCAGATCGACTCGCCAATGAAGGTCTCAAGGACACAGCACCACTCCGCACCATAGACTACAGCACCACGGAAATCTACAGTATGGTCAAAAGACACGTCAATTCAATCTGGGAATTAAATCTCGTTGAACTTGACACATACAGATTCCGGCTGGATGACAAGATCTACACAAAGACAACACTCAATCACCCTAGAAGAGATATTTGTAGACTAAGGGTAAAAGAGCAGCTGCGAGACTACAAACACCAAGTCATCATCTGTGAGTGCGGAGAAGAATGTACCGCCAACCATGTCCTGGTAGACTGCGAGGTATACGAGGAGGAGAGAAGGGAACTAGTGAGAACAATGGAGACCAACAACATACCATTCAACACTAAGAACCTACTCTTCCCGAGACCAGATCTGAAACTGCAAATCTTCGAACAAATCCACGCCCTAATGGACACAGTTGGACTAAGTAGAATAGTGAAGTAAGGGGGTCACAGTTAGACGGGCCCGGTATCTAAACACTAAACTACATAGGGGATTTAAACCAAACTGGCAGGATAGTGGAGTAAGGGGAGGTCACGATAAGACGGGCCTGGCACCTAAACACATACCCCACAAAGATGGGATCTACCAAACTAGCAGGATAGTGGAGTAAGGGGGAGTTACGGTCAGACGAACTTGGCACCTAAACACTATTCCGCAAATAAAACTGATACCAAACCCAGAGAGTGGGACAGTGGAGAAAGGGGAGGCCACGATAAGACGGGCCTGGCACCTAAACACTAACCCCAAACGATGACATCTACCAATCCAGAAGCAGATGAGATCATCTACCAAACGATATGTTTTGTATTAAATAAAGGGAATAACTTCCCACTAAACCAAATCCATGGCCTAAGGCCAAATGGAAAGATTGCAAAATCATATTCTAAAAAACAGGAATCAGCTTCGGCTCTCCTATGTCTTGTCTGCGATATCACTTATGTGGAAGCAGACGTTAAACACCAAGAACGAACGAACAAATTAAAGCCATTCGCCAAGTTTATTTGAATGAATGAAGACAAATAATTACAGACTAGAGATAATAAAACTTTACACCTTTAAATGCCATTTAAAATATCTTCGTTTCGTTGTTAAATTTCGAGTAGTTCTAATTTTTACAGCCGAATAAAAACTACGTGGCAAAGGAACGAATCCCAATCATCAAGTCGCATCTTCCCTATTTTTCGACTTTTCGGAGGATCAAGGATTTAAGTACAGGATTTAATTTATGATTTCCTAATGACATGTACCAAATTTGTTTCGCCCATTTCTGAACTCTAAAGATTCACTTTAACTTCAGTTTTTGTCTTTTTTGCTGGTTCGGCGTTTCCTCGAGGCAGTTCAATAAGATTGAATACATTCCACGATCGTAGAATAACAAACATATCTGATCAACACTAGCACTGTATTCAAATAGAGGTGTTGCGATAAGTTTTTCTTTGTTTATAGTGAAAGGTTATAGTTAAAACTACTCTCAGGTGTTAGATATTAGAAATAAAGTTGTTTTAGGGAAAAAAAACTAGGTTTTTGCGAGTACTTTCCGCTTTATTAAGCTTCTCCAGGCAACCATTACCAATTCCAACAAGTGATGTGACGTAGTAACGTCATGGTTACAACAATGAACTATAATGGATATAAAAATAGTGAAAGGTTATAGTTAAAGCTACTCTCAGGTGTTAGATATTAGAAATAAAGTTGTTATTAGAAAAAAAAACTAAGTTTTTGCGAGTACTTTCCGCTTTATTAAGCTTCTTCGGACATCCTTTATCAATTCCAACAAGTGATGTGACATAATAACGTCATGGTTACAACAATGAACTATAATGGATATAATAATATGCACGATAAAATAATATGCATGTATCATTAACAAAATTATTAATTAAACATTTATAATTAAAACATTTTATAAAAAAACCCTAAAATTTACAGCTTAACAATAACAATAAATTTCTATAAGATACAATAAAGGTACATAGTGTTTATTGGGTTTTTAATTATGGTAATTGAACTGTTATCAAGCGACATGTCAATTATGATACTGTACGTAGTCTTTGTCAATAAAGTATATCATTAGTAAAACACAATAACAACAACTTAGTCCATGATAACTAATTCAAGACATGTTACTGATTACACTGATCGACATTGAACGTTTTGCGTTGATATTGCACGGGGTGATTTCTATTTTTACCGAAAACGCTCTACAAGCAAGTCACTGATAGAGACTTATTCCAGACTTCCTGGAATTGTTTCGTCTAGGCCCAAGAAAGAACACTGTCGCGCACCAAATCTACACTGTGTTTATTGCTCCCGCAAGCGCTCTCCAGGTATCGTTGCCGGTGAACTGTAATTTGGCAGGTTAGCTGGAATTAAGTGGGCGCGTGTGTGTGTGTGTGTGGGGGGGGGGGGGTGTCTTGTTTTTTTTTCTGATCTATTGGTGCAGTGATAATCCTCCATGTAGTTAACCAATTTTTGCCTCTTGGGGAAAACGTTTTGGTGCCATTTTGCATTTTGTCCTCCGCCAAAGACGTAAGAGGATACTAATTCCTCAATAACGTGTGAGTATTAACTTCTAAACCCATACATTATACCACAGAATTTAAATAATCCCATCAATTTTACACTGTGGTGTCACCAAGTCGTTGAATTCAAAATGGCGCCCAATATGGCCACGGTCCCATATAAATGACCACAAGGCTCTTACTATACATGTTAGGGGAACAAGCCTGATGATTCTGGTTGAATAAGTTCGAATAAGTGTGAAGCAAATACAAACATATTTGTGCACATAACACTGATTATAATACTCATTTCTATAGTTATTAAATACTGTATTGATTGATTTCAGACGTCCAGTGATAAGTGTTATTTTATACCATTTATTTATACCACTCCGACAGACTACATGTAGTAAAGACTTGAAAAGGTAGATCAAGGCACATCTGTTTACAATTTTAACCGCTTTGGTGTAAATCATACACAAACATAAATACATTATAACAGAATCCAAAAACCTAATGAGGAAACCATTATGAGATATACCTATCGAAGTCATCCAGCAGACAATGAAGAAGCCAGTCCATGTTCAAGAGCAAGCGCAACGCCTCGTCCACTACGATCTGCAGGGGGTTAGGTAAGACTTTTTGAAAAAATTATAATATGTAAGTGCTGGGAGACCGCACCACACAAAATTACACAAAACAAAACTACGGACATGAGAGAATACGCAGGAATCACAAACTAACGTACACATTAGATTAAGTAGAGGTTAAATATCGCAATTCAGTGTCCAACAACCTTTTCCGCCGAAAACTTGTAAACTCTTTACAGATCAAGAGTTTTTGAGATTTTTTTTACTAAATTGTTGGGATTATTTGGCTAGTCTCACGGAGTTGCCATTTCGAAATTCAGGTTCGTGCCAAATATATTTATTGTCTGGCAAGGTAATGTCTGTAGTGTTCTGTTAGCGTATCTCTTCACTTTTTTAAAAAAAAAAACCCAGCAAGACATATATCTCCAAAAGTATTTTACTTACCTAACAATCTCAAATAAAATAAATGGATAGGCTGTGTTACAACTGCATCCCAAGTAACAACTTTACCAAATATATTACCAAGTGTGCATTGTGGGTCTGTTGTAGAAAACCAACCACCACCTTGCATAACAGATGGACATCCTACTGCTGTCAGATCGTTGTCGTATGTTGAGAAAGGCATGTTATTTATATTTAGGGAAGCTGTCCACGCGTCTCCGCATTTTTCAGACTGGTGTGAGGAATATGAAGAAATCTGTAGTTTAAAACCGTCCGAGGAATCCGAAATACTAAAGGAATCATAATAACCCTGTGCCAACTGGTGAGAGCTACTATACATTGCCATAACATTCAGTCGAAATGATCTCCCCATACTCATTTGGTAGAACTTTGTAAGACCAATCCAGTGTTCGCCACTTGCATCACCAAATCCATCGCGGTATTCCTCCCATGTGCGGTTATATGTTACTGTCGAGCACTGGGTATTTCTTACAAGTGTGTGGGCAATACCATTCCAGTTAAAATGGCATAATATTTCAAAAGGTTCGGTTGATAAACTCGGTCTTACGAAACTTATCTTTTGTTCGAGGTTGGACATTCCTAAGATAAAGCCTTGAGAACAATCTGTAAAAGTAAAAAGAAAATTAAGTTTCAAACAAACATTATTTTCTATCTAAAGCCACCTTATAAAGGATGGTAAATTATTTGCACATTTATACCCCAAGTCGGTCTATTTGAGTAAGGCCCCCTGCAGTTGGTCGTTATACCCTTCGTCAGACTACCCGCTCGGTAACAAATCCTTTGGACATCACATGTTATTTGTGAATGTCTAGCTGCCTCGCCTGACAGAGAAAGTGGGCTATGCTCCCGAGACCACTTTAAAGTATCGGACCTTAGACGTTGTGTAATACAGCAAAGGATCTGTCGAACCCTGCACTCAAGTCTTGTTTTGCACCGTACGTAATATCTTTTATATGCGTTTCTCGTGTATCTGGTTTGAATTACACAAATTCGACCCTGACCAACTGAAACATTTTTGTCTCCGCCGATGCTAGGTCTTAGGCTTGAGAAAAGAGTAGCGTGTCTGGAGCGGTGGCCGTGAGTACTGACCTGTTATTATATTTTCACATGTATCTCCATAATAACCGATAGGGCATAAACACATCCCGTTGTCGCAAGTATAATTCTGAAACATAAGAAAATTGCTGATGGAAAGCATATTGTATAGCAATACAGACACAATGATTTACATTTGTGTATTACCGACCTTGATACCATGTTTCTCACATTTCTTCATAAACTGACGATGTTTACTGGAACATGATATGGATGGAAGGTTTAAGTTAACGCCCACTCGACAGAAACTATGCAATTTCCGGACTAATAAATGGTTCAATTTTATTTAAATCATTCGCTTCCGCTTATTTTTGTTGTGCAGTGGATTGGAACAGCAAGATCCGACGAGGTTGAAAATGCGACACCACTATTGTCACGTAATAGAAGCTGGTTATTTTGCTTGGAACAAAAATGGCAATTTTGGACTATAGCGATCCCACAAGCGACCGTTCTCCTTTATAGATAAAGCACTGAGCAATCAAATTACGATCCTAGATGCAACTCTCTCCTTTGCAGAGATAAAGCACCGAGCAATCAAATTACTTATCACTCTGCTTAACCGGAGCAGCAAAATGCTCAGTATCAAACTTAGTCAGGGTAATGAAGTATTAAAGCTGTACTTCAAGTTTCATCACTATCACTTAATTAGCATAGGGGTAATCGTATTCGAAAGCACCCACAAATCAATTTGCATATTTCTACTTGGCTTGGCCTCAGTTATGACATCCACCTTATGAACTTTCACAGCATGTTTAACATTCTACCTCAATGAGAAGCAGCTAGGTGTACTGTATTCTAAAATCCCAATCAAACAATCATCGAACCGAGTCTTGACATTTACCAACAGGAAATCTACACTACAAGTTCGAACATTCTATCTCAGTTGGAAACATTGTATTCCAAATGTGACTAACAGTGATATTGATGGACAGCTCTTTGACCAAACAGAAAAGGCATTCACTTAAAAATGCATTATGTAAGATTTGGTTGGATAAAAAGCTGACAGTTCTCGCTACAATAGTTTAAAAACAGATAATGAAAAGAGACTATATTGAAATTTCAGTCATTCTAAGCTAATCGTTTGAAGTGTCTAAATAAAAATTTGTAAAGCATTTGATACCAAAATAAAGATCTACAAAGGGCTTATTTAGCTATACATAATATTTTAACAGACGTGATCTACACTTAGGACGAACATTATATCTCAATTAGAATGAAGAATGATTATTATTGTACCCTCAAAGTCTCGAACTCAGTCAAGGAAATTTACCTATGGAGGATTGAACCGTCTGACGCTATAATTATTTTGTTCCCAAAAATGTGACGGGCAAAAATACAGACGGGCCAACATAATTAGTTTTACAGTTCGCTATAGTCAGTACGTTCGCTTGATCATTCCAGACTAAAAATTAATTGTATTGAGTTTGAACCATCAATAATCGAGATAAGTCAGATCAGCCTAATTCGATCAATACGTTATTTTCACCTAAATTAAAGCGATGTATCTCTAATATTTTCTAGATGTCTCATAATAAATAAAATACAATGACACCATTACTGATAATATTCAACTTCCCAATTTAACATAAGCAAAATTCTTCCTCAATTAAAAGCAGAGTTCATCACTCTTACTTAATTATTACCAAAGTTATCGTGCCCCAAAGCATCAACTAATCAAATTGCTTATCTCTGCTTACCCTAAGCTCGATACAAAGAGGGATAAAAATCGGGTTTTACCTTTCTGTGACACTGGCACAAATTTTTGTTCGAACTAACACAGTTCTCACCATCTTCATATAAACTGCATGTGTATCCATCCTCGACATGGCATAGCATCAACTTTCGGCAATTTGCTACGTGAGAACATTTGATGAAACACTTATATGGTTTCTCGACAAATTCATCCTGTAGCTTAGTACTGGCGTCACAGGTGTCTTCTATAACAGATGTGTGTACGTATTTGGAATATTTA